CTTAGGTTTTTTGCTCATGACTACTGCTTGAGCCACAGTTCCACTTGTGGCTTTTTGGTGGTTAACTGGAGCTAAGAGTCTCACAGACTTTCCTGCTTGGGCTGGATTTGAACCACGATCCTCAGATCTCAGCCTCCTGAGTAGCTAACATTACAGACATGAGCCACAGGCACCCAGCAACAACACAAAATACTTGAACATGCCAACACTCAAGGGTTTGCCTTGGTGCCTCCATCAGGGACTCGTTCGCATTCCGGGAGTCTTTTCCACTGCTGCTTCTCAGGGGACTCAACATCAATCTAGTGTAGTCAGATGCTAATGGCGAACCTGTTGGCCTCTGCCAATGGCAGGGCATTTTGAACAGTGGCCTTGCAAAAGGGAAGCCTGACATTTAAGGGAATCCTCCTGTTTCCAGGAGATGAGAGCATGGTGCCGCATCCTTGCTATTTGCTCCTAAGCAAAAGAACAGACGGCAGACGGGGCCTGGCTGGGCTGCACTGGCCTCTACTGTCTTTCAGCCCCCTGCTGACGGCCACCTGCTGGAGCCAGGGCCATTCAAGCAGGCATTCCATGACTCAAGGGACAGCCCAGAGTGCTCCCACGGGGCTGTCTCCGCCACCTCCTGCATGGGAAGCGGTTCTCCAGGGATTACACAGCTGTCCTGTGTGATAGCTAAAAAAAACAAGGCTGGATGACAGCTGCAACCCGACCTAGCGCTCAGAGAACTTTACAATGAAGCACAGGTGGTGCGGGCTGAGCATGCGCGGGCTGAGCTGTGGGCCGGGAGGCAGGAGGCGGGAACGCTCTGGGACAGATGCACAAGGAGAAGCACCTTGGCTTCCACATGAGTTGAAGCTGGAAGGCATGGCGTGGCTGTTGGAGTCCGGGTTCTAATGCACGTGAGAGCAGGGACTGTCTTGGTTCACAGCTCTCCATCTCCAACCCTTCTACCTTCGTCTCCACCCTGAGAGCAAATTGAGATTGTGTGTGCGTGCGCGCATGGAACACATGCACACACATGCTGGTGCTGGGGCACTATCCCTTAGCTTGTTCACTCAAGGCTGAGGCTCTACCACTTAAAGCATTGTTCACTTCCAGCGTTTTGCTGATGAATTGGAAATCCTTTCCTGCCTGGTTTGGGCATGTTGGGGAATCATCATTTCAGGGATTCTACTGTGTCCAGGAAATTAGGGCAAGGCAGAAGGGGAGGACATCGAGAGCTGTGACCACGCGAAGAAAAACCTTGTTCCCCATTCTCCCGTATATTAAAACCTTGATGTCCGACTATGACCACCTGTGCTGCTCCTGACTATGCTATAGGAGAACCAGGATCACATCCACTCACACAAGCCTCACACGTGACATTTTGCTGTACAACATGGGGCTCGAGAAGACAACAAAGTTGTCAAAACCTGACACCCAGCGCTGGAATAGCCGTGAGTTACTGGAGTTCTAACAGCTCGAGTCTTCAGGAAGAGCCTTCTGGCCAATTAGTGGTAGCCAAACTTCCCGGCGCAGCCCCCCTTTTTTCTTCCTCTTCTTCCCTCCTCTTCTTTCCTCTTAGTGAAGGGTTTTCTCCCTGGGGAAACCAGAGCACTCCCTCCTCGCAGTCCACTTCTTCTTCCTCCGGTTGTCCCCACCAGGAGTGGCAGCCAGCCAGGCAGTGGCCGAGGCCCTTCTTCCCCTGGCTGGGGAGGCTGATACCTCACCTGTAATGCACAGACTCCTCTGGGCAGAGCAGCACAGCACTTGCACTGCTGCATGGACGTGGGCCTCGGGCCTCAGGCCTCCTGGGGAGGCCAGGACGTGGCAGCTGGTCTCTGGCATTCACGCAGCCACCCTCCACAGGTTTTCGGGTACTTTTCTCTGACCTCCTTGGCAGTGGCTTCCTTTGGCAGTCCTGGGTCCCCTCTATAAAGTAGGGTGACATCGCATTCCAAATCCCCTCAGTCCTGGTCCCTGGGGTGGGTCGATGCAGTCTGACTGTTGGAATTAGCTCACTTGAGGGCAGCTGAATGGACTGAAGTTCTGTATGGGAAACAAACTTCTTCCATCTCTGGGACAGCCCCGAGTGGCTTTTGTGAGGCAGCTGTGGAGCCCACCATGGCTGTTCTTAGTGAAGCGTGAGGAGGCAGAGAGGGCAATAAGAAAACTGCTCAGGCTGCTGCTGCTGCCACTGCTTGGTCTTGGTCTTTTGCTGGTCCTGGGCTGCTTCTGCTCCAAGTTAGTGCTCTACCACTTGAGCCATAGCACACTTCCAGCCTTTTCTGAGTAATTTACTGGAGATCAGAGTCTCATGGACTTTCCTGCTCTGGCTGGCTTTGAACCATGAGTCTCTAGTGTAATCCACTAGTGCCTGCCTGGTCTCCTCAGGCTTCTAAGAGCTTGGGGAGCCAAAACAGCCATCTCTAAGAGCTGTGTGGCTTCTTGTCAGCAAATGCTCAGTAGCTGGGCGCCCAGGCTGCTTGCACTCCTCAGTGGCCTTCATTTTTGTCAATAAGTTCATAATTACCCCATTGTAACTGCCCTTGCTGCTCCCGACCTTATACCATCGGAGAGCAGCAACCATTCTGCTCCTGTATCATGAAGGAGGCCGTGGCTTGGCAGACTGGATCGACCAAGAACTCTTTGTAGTTTTCTTTTTTACAAAAAACAAGATCTCCAAGGTGGTGACAGAAGCTGCCCTTTCCTACTCATTTCCACCTTGACTGCAGTTCTCAGTGTATTATAATGAGGGGAAGGGTTAGTAGATAGAGATAAAAACTTGGCTATAACAAGGGGCAGATAACATATGGCCATCATAGAGCTTCTTGTTCCCATAGTACCCTGCACTCCCACTCAAGATGCTTTTTCCCATAATGCCCTGGGTGCCCACTCAAAAATGGCCGGAGCTGGGGCAGTGTGGACACAAGCCATCCATAGCAATCGGTTCAAAGCACACAGGAGGAGGCAGGGGAGGAGCCTGACTGTAAACCGGCCTTTGGGAGGACTCGATGGCCTCCTCTTTGGAGCCACTTGCTCCCTTCCTCTTGCTTCAGAATAAACACGTGCTGTCTGCTTTGAATATGTTCCTGTCTTTTCATTCTTTAATGGGCAGAGAAAGCAAAGCCCACCCCAGAGAGCAGCAGCCGCGTGACCGGTTCAGATGCAGGCCCAGCTGAGCCCAGAGTGGAGTCCAGCTTCGTGACCAGGAGGCAAGGCCGGGAGCGTGCTTTGGGCAGCTCTGTGGGTGCAGACACATGGCCGAAGTCCCCTCAGAGAAGTGGGGGGCCAAGTGAGCTGTCCAGGCTGACCACAGGCAGACAGCGACGAGGCCAAGTAACAGTCAGGAGGGCGCAGGGGCCAATGAATCCCAAGCACTCACCAATAAGGCCCCCGGTATTGGTCTCATTTTTTGTGTACTGAATCACCTCAAAAGACTGAAAACAGCCAGAACAGGGGTGCATGTAGACCTACAGGAAGTGAAGGCACGATTGGGGGAAGACCCAGCTAGAGAGACTCTATCTCAACGAGGTGAGGGAGTGGGGTATACTTGTATTCCTCGCCTTGAGGGGCGTAGGGAGATGAATTCTAGTCTGAGATGGGCCCAGGGCAGAAATGCAAGACTGTATCTGAAAAGAAACTGTAATGATAAGCACTGGGGGTGGGGTGCAAGGAGTAGAGCACCTTCTTAGCAAAACAATGGAAGACAGCCAATGAGCAGCTGTGGGAGACGCCCCACTGGGTGCTGGGATCCCCTTTCCCCAGGGAGAGGATGACGGTGACATCACCAGAAGTTCTCACCACAGATTAACTCTGGGCTTAAGAGGGAGGCCTTTTGGGACCCCACGATAGCTTTCTGGAATAGTGTGAAAAAACAACACATTCAGTACATCAGTAGCTCAGGAGATGCATTATGGGAGTCACAGGGCCAGGGAAGGCCCCCTCTGGCCGGGAGCTTTCCCCTGCACAAGCAGCCCTGCTACCCTGCAAGCTGAGGCACGGACTAAGACCTCCACATGCAGACAGGTCCCAGCATTCCCAGGGCGCAACGAGCACACCCCCGAGCATCTCAGGACACAGCCTCCGAGAATGCAGAGTGTGGCATCACAGGGAGAAATGCCAGGCTCTTGTCCCATGCACATATGCACACATGCACACGTGCACACAGGTACACCCATATCATGTGCACACGGGCACATGCATGTGCACACAGTGTGTGTGTGTGTGTGGTTCTGCTGGTGAGATTCTCATTAACTCGACTGTATTTGACCAGTAGGAGGGCTGTCCTCTGGGCTTCTCGGCAGTGTCTGTTTCACTGGGTGCATCTGGCCAACCCTTGCAGCAGGTGTCCGCCTCTGTAAAACCAAAGGATGGAGGCAGTGTGACGGATGTGGTTTGCTGGCCGGCATCACCTGGTGCTGCCCTGGATGGAAGCTGTCAGGGGGCAAGAAGAGTTCTATGGACACAGACAGGTGGACCAAACCCCATCCCTGCCTGTGTGCCCATGCGGACACATGCTTTTCTTTTAATAAGCCTTAGGCTGGAAGTCAGATAACCAGTCATTGCTTCCCGAAGTCTGAAGAACCCTCAGATCAAGGGCAAAAACCGGAGGCACCGGCTGCCAGATGAAGCCAGGCACTGGGCAGGAACAGTGACCAGTGCTAGCATGGCAGCACAAGAACCCCAGACACAGCACACAGCAGACATCTGCATGCTGTGTGCATGCTCCAAAGCAACACCAATCATCTGCACACTTGCAGCACAATGTGAACAAGCACATCGAAACAATTTTTTAAAGACTTTCACAACACATTTGTTGCTATTGGACTCCTTTGACCAATACATGTCCACGTCAAAACTCAGAGATGACTCAAAGTATGATTATCTGCACTAAATTCTGCAGCAAACTATGGAAACGGAATGGGACGCATTCCCTGGAGGCGTTGCTTCCTCTCTGGATGGAAGTGGTCTGTCTCAGACCCTTTTCCACAGTACCCATTAAGAAACTGCTATTTTCAGAGCAACAAAAATAAAAGCTTTTATTTGTTCATTTGAATATAAAACAGGCGTTATCACAGATGTACAAAGCGTACTGGTGGTTGAACATACAAGAAGGTTGCTGTCCTTTGCACATAAAAATTTTGTTTGAAACTGTGGTTGGTTGAGTACATGAACTTCTCTAACCAGTCCCCACACTCTGAAATAACGCTGCTAACATTCAACTGATAAAAGGGACCGTTTTCCCCTTGGGTAAAGTGTCAAGCAGGATTAAATATATAGAATAAACAAGCACCATAAGGAATCTGCTCCTGTTGGATCAGGTCTGTGTTTCAACGTTCATCGTGTACCCTCTTTTTGTGCAAGTTGATTACATGGTTTTGGCTGACTTCAAAAGCACAAGGTCACAAGACAAATATATTTTTTTTTACATTCTCATGAATGATTTTATCTACAGTACAATTCCTAATACCGAACAATCCTTCTTTATTGCTGAGACGGGTGGTAGCTAAGTGTCTCCTCTCCTTTTGCTTGCACAACTAAACTCGAGCCCAGTCCACCAACTCCTTTGACCCTAAACTCTTAACATGGGAGATGACAGGATACAGAAGAGACCTGCTGGTATCGCTTCCACAGCTGCCCTGCAGCGCTCGCCCTCCTTGGGTGTGAAGTTGATATGGTGAAAGTTAGTTATGCTTGAAGTGACGTCTAGATTTGTTTGGCTTCCTGACACTGCACGTTGCAAGGATATTCAGTGAGGAGTGTCCTATCTGAAGTTTGAGACCTACTTCCCCTTAAACAAGGTGTGAGTGCGTAAGAAAATGTCTTTTTTGTCTGTGTGCGGTGGGGATTTTATCCCGATAGGAAGCAGAAGGCTGTAGGAATGTTTGTCTGAAGCACGGACACAAATACTCATACAAAGCAAGAACAAATAATAGTTTAAAAACCAAGTAATTTGCAAAGATGGAACTATTCTCCACATATATAGACAAAATTTTAAAAATGTGCCACTTTTTAAAAAATAACCTGCCTTGGATCTCAGAAGTCAAACAAAACTCTCTGTTAGCAAAGGGCTTACCGGCAGCTGCATCAAACAAAGGCAAGAACACCATCTACAACACAGGCAAGGAAGAATCTAGATCCCGCTCAGCTGTGGTCTTTGTCATGCATCTGAGTAGCCAGAGTGAGGGCAGGACCAGACGGTGGCAATTGGAAAACCAGTCTGTCTTACTCCTCTGAAAGCTGATTCTTGACTGCACACAGGCCGATTCAATGTATAAACCCACAGGTGAGCTGTGCAAATCAGAGGGTGTGCCGGGCAGGGACAGAAACCAGGGATGTGGCTCCCGCATACGAGCAGGAGGCGGATGCCAGAGCTCCTCTAGATGTCCCGGAGGCGGGTGGGGTGGGGTCTTCAAGTGAGCTAGGACCCCGAGACAGAGGTTTACAGAGGTGGCTGTGTCTTCAGGGGAGGTGACATCAATGACGGGAGCTTCTTCCTCTCAAAGCTGTCTGGACGTCCTGTCCGTTCCTATAGTGGCCGGCAGAGGACAGCTCAGTGAAACCCGGAACATGTGACCACACAGTGTCATTCTTTTCATATCAAGGAAGCAAAAAAAAAAAGGCGACATTGACGAAAAGAAAAAGAAAAAAAAAAAAGAAAACCATATTGTGCAACAAATTCTTGCAGCTAAGAAAACAGTGCCATGTGCCAGCCTGGAAGCCCACATGTGGTGGGCACAGGCTGGTACAAACGCATTCACTGTCGGCCCCAGCAGAGGGAACCACGGTGCACACCGAGCCTTCAGCTCCACCACCGCCCTAGTGGTGGTGGGCACGCCCCTCACTGGTCTGGGGTTCTAGAAGGAACTTGGGGAGCGGAGCGGGCGAGTGGCAATCCGTGATGGCTCGCTTGGGCCGCAGTGGGGGGAGGGGCTGCGGACAGTGGAGGCGCACCATGCAAGTGACAGGTTCTGCATTTAAACTTTAAAATCTCCTTTTTTCATTAGTGAATTTATATTTCATATATATATATTTGTTGTGATACTATCCACGCAAGATAATACAACACTTTTTTTTATATTAGCAAACATTACAAGACTTTAATATTCTTGAATGTTTTTCTCTTTTATACTTCTAAAGAGATCAAAATAAATTAAACATTTTGTACATAATTACATATTGAGGAAGTTAACTTATTTTATCTTTTCAGTTTAGTACAAAGATATTTGCAAGATAGTTGCCGAAATACACCTTATTTATAGTCGCTTTTCGTTCTATGCTCACGGCCAAGGCCAGACACAGGCCTCTGTTTTCAGCACGTCTCTGACAAAACAGCTAAGACCCAGCTGCCCGAGGCTACCTGTTAGGTTTCTCGTACCTCAACAAACTCTCCTAGAAGGGTGAGATCTAGCAATGAATGGCTTAAATCAGTAACATTTCCATGTCATTAAGATTTCATGACACATTAAAACAGAGAAAACAATTCTTTGTCACACTACATAAATTGTTTAAAAGAACCCATCTGGAGGGCAGAATGTGTTTTTTTTTTAATCGCTATTTCGGCTTAACAAAATCCCACATTGACGAAGAGAGCACTTATTATCCGATCATTAAAAAAAAAGAAAAGGAAGTTTTTGAAATGAGCGTTTCCAACAAACTGAAGGCAGTAATCCAAAGTCCTTCTGAGCAAAATTCAGTGGTAAATTCACATTTCATCTCCACGCCGGGGTTTCTGCTCCGAGAGGGCGGCTCCCCGCCCCGCACTGGGCCCCACGCCCCGCCTGTCCGCATGCCTGGGTGGACACTGAGACGCCGCCCGCGTCCCTCCAGGAGTCCACAGAGGCTGGGCGGGGCTACATGTTGTAGGCCACGTAGATGGGGTCGAGCTGGTCCGCCAGGAAGCCATCGCGCAGGTGCATGCGCTGCTTCTCCCCTCGGGAGTTGATGGGGATCACCCCAATGTCCACCACCACCACCACCCCCACAACCAGATAGTGCTCCTCCAGCACCACGTTGGTCACCAGTGGGACCAGGTCCAGGGCTTCCTGCTCTGACCCATCCAGCTCCACCACCACCACCAGCAGGTTTGTCCAGGTGAACACCGCGCTGCCAGGAGAGAAGAGAGCCGTGGGCACCGGGGGAGGCCATGGACCAATGGCCACAGCCGCCGTCTGATTCACCTCACATCCACGGGGCAACCCCTGCCGCCTCCAGCCCACTGTCCCTCCCTTGTCCTCCCCCGCCCCTTGCCCCGGCCCTTCCTGTCCCTCCCTTGTCGTCCCCCCTCCCCCTGCCGTTCCTCCCTGTCCCCTCCCTTACCACTCTGTGACGCTTTTGTGTGCTCTGATGACAGAGGTCTCGATGTCGATCGGGTGGTACCTCATCCCCCGCAGCTCCATGGCTTCGTCCAGGGCCCCCACCACGTAGAGCGCGTCATGGCGCTCTGAGGGGAGGAAAGCGGTGAGCGGGGTGGTGTGCCCCCCAGGGTGACACGGTGGAGCACAGACAGGGGGTCCCTGGGCGGGATGGGGGCTAGGTGTGCTATCCCTCTAAAGTCTGTGTCTCCCAAGACCAGGCCGGGTGCACAGCCGCTACCTTCCCTTCTCTAAAGGGTGCTGTCTTGTTGGAGGACTCAGTCTCTGCCTGGATTGGCATTGGCACACTGCACCGTGACACCCACTCACCGGCCCTGCCCAGGCCAGGCCACCCCGGGTCACCCCTCCCCCCACCACACTCCCTCTGCCCAACTCCGTCATGTCAGTGTTTTGTTGCATGGGTCCCAGGGAGAGGGAGGAGCGGGCGGAGCTGATGAATGAAGATCTCCTCAGCACAAGGAGCCCAGAAGTCTTCTGTGCAGTACTGGGCCTCACACGCAGCAGGCAGGCGCTCTACCACTTCTGCCAGCCCCCAGACCTTATTTATTAGCCAGGGTTTCACTTTTTTGTGTTTAGGGTTAGCCTTGGACTGTGATCCTCTACATATGCCTCCTGCGTGACTGAGACAGGTATAGGCCACCATACTTGGCACAAAACTTATTTTCATCTTACACAGGATTCTGCTCACTACAAACTCCCCATTCCTGGAGCAAGGGGGGAGTCACATCATTTTTTGGGGACCAGAGATGTGGGAAGGGGAAGCAATGCCCTGCCGTCTCCAAGCTTTGCAGGGAGGGACGCTCCTGGCCCTTCTTGAGGGACAGCAGGCGCCCCCATTTCTTAACACTTCTATCCGCACGTGCCGCGCAGCGCAAGCTAAGAAACCAGTGTAGCATGCCCAGAATGTAAATGTCACACCAGAATATTCTCTTTCTTTTCCCCAAATGCGGCAGGAGTGACCTCGGGGCATGCTGCCACAGAAATGCTGTGGCCCCTGCTTAGCAGGGCTCCTTTCTGGCTTTGCACTCAGCTCTCAGGACGGACAGACAGACAGCTTCCCCTGGTGGGACACATCTGCTTGGTGGCTGCAGCCGTGCACTTGTCCTTTGGGGCCGGCCTCTCACGCCTCAGGCTGTCTTCCCCGCCCTGGGCAAACCCAGCCTCTGCCGGCTACGCGGCAGCCACTCACCTCCGCTTGCATCCGTGAGCTCCGTCCTCCGCAGGAAGCCCAGGTAGCCGGTCCGGGCCCAGATGGTCTGGGTGTCTCCAAAACTCAGCCGGGAGTTGAAGTGATCCGACTGGAGGGATTCATCTCCGTAAATCGTAAAATAGCCACTGGCATTGTGGGCGCTGTGGACCCAGATCTGTGAACAGAGCGACGCGTCAGCGTGGGTGAGCTCCCTGGGCTCCTGGGGAGGGAGGCTGAGCAGGTTACGTTCAGGGAAGTGCCATTTCCTTGGTCGGAAGGAGCAAGATAGTGTTCATCTCACTAGGGTTTCTGCGGAGATGTAGACCAACTTCCTGAGAGGAAGGTTTGCTACCAAGTCTGTGGCCAGGCCACCAACTAAGCCATCCATCTAGTGGAAATTAATTAAGCAAAATAACTGCAGATTATTTGTGAATAGCATTTGAAAGTAAACCACGGACAAACCATTTGAAAGCATCCATTCGTTTCCTTGTACTTTGAAATGTAATCATTTCTAAAAAGCAGTCAGGAAAAATGAAGACGAATTTTAAGTTTTCTTTTTTCCCCTTTCACCTGGCTAGCATAGTCCTGGAAACAGATCATGATAAAAACAACCCAATACGAAACACAGCCTAAGAAATAAATGCATGGAACATCAGAAGAGGAGAAGAGCAATGCTGGAACGTTGGGCATTTGGGGAAAGGGTGAAGCAAAGGCAGACTGTCTCAGTCTGTGAAGACCATGACAGTTGAGGAGAGCCACAAAAAAGAGCAGAAGAAACTCTGGCTGCACGCATCTCTATGCATCTCTGTTTCTGTAACAGACCCAGACATGTTGGGTTCTTTCACACTAGGGTGCTTACAGCAAGGCAGTATGCAGCTGGCTGTTTTGTTTATTTAAACTGAAAACTGGTGGAGTTTCATGCAGCCAAGAACTCTGCTTCACTCGCCACTTGAGCCCTAGCTTCCGGACCCTGCCTACATCCCTCAGGTACTCTGTCCATACCGGACCAAATGAAACAAAGCACAACCCAGAGAGAAACATACCACTGAAACTAATAACTGTCCTCTGCTCCCCAATACAGAAACGTTCTGGCTCAGGCAACGGGACCCACTCGGCCTTGAAGAGAAGGCATGCTGTCGCCTGGAGCCATGTGGGCAAACCTGCAGGGCTGTGCTTACAGGGAAGCTGCATACTGCCTGGCCTCTCACACACGGAACCTAAAAGGTTGAGTCCACCCACAGAACCCACCAGCTGCTGCTGGTGCTCAGGGAGGGCGGGGACTCGGGATGAGCCTACACGCACAAAGCCCATTGCTTGGAGGCGCTCACCTCCCGCGTGACTATGGCTGTGGACTGCTAACAGAGCTGACACGAGCTGGCCACATAGACGGAAGGATGGCTGCGGAAGGGGGCGGGGGTGCTCCCCTCCCCCTTGGGGTCAGTCCTTCCCCACTGTCTGTGCACAGCAAACTGGACACATTAATTCACACACTCTGTTCGCCAATCTGGCTCAGCCAAGCTGGACCAAGAGAGATTGATTCCTGGTAGGAAAATCAGCACGCCAGTCTCTCCATCCCAGCTGCCCTGAGTGGGGAGACTTGTGTGTGGGGCCCTCCTTGTCCCCAACCGGCTGCTCCTGGCCAGAGCAGAGGCCGCCACCTCTGCAGACACCTACCTGGCAGCTCTCCCTCCAGCCTCATTTCTTGGTTACATTGAAAGGTGACTACTATTATCTCAGTTCTGATCTTTGCATAGGCTTGTGAGATTCAAACAAAAGGCCAAGATGTAGACTGAAAAGGAGCCTGGGAGGAATGGTTAGAACTCGCTCACGGGTCATGCTACATGGAGATGTATTCTTTATGTGATGCTGCCATTTTCCTAGGGCTGGGGACAGACACAACCGGGGCGAGAAGGCAGGGGCAACTGTGCTCTCAGGCCGGACAGCCAGGCGGAAGGGAAATGCCTGGTGCCACGTGGGAGGTGGGGCCCCACAGAGGAGCTCTCTGGCTCCTCAGTGGGAACAAGGGCTCATCCGTGAAGAAAGCACGCGTGTGACGCAGGGCCTGTGGAGCGGGCCTCAGGCCTGTCTGCAACCCCAGGACCGAGCTGAGAGTGGCGGTCAGGACCTTGGACAGAGGCTGGCAGTAGGTGAGGCGTTCCTCCCTAGCCAGCAGTATGTGGATAAAGTGGCGGGAGCTGGGGAGCAAGCAGGGTGGGGTTCCATCACAAGCGTAATGGGCCAAGGGCACAAAGCGCTCCTGTCAGCTTTCCGATCAGATGTAAACACGTAACTTTCCCTCCCCTGCTAACTACTGTGGGTGGCGGCCATAATTCTGGGGGTAGCACCGCTCCCTCTGAGGGTGTCTCTGTCCTTTTCCTGATGAAGCACTTCTCAGGCACAAAGGAGGTCCATAAACACAAAGGTACGAGTTGAGCAATAAACACAGCAGCACATCTAACTTTCTATCTTTCTTGACTTCTCTGGAGAGGTCCCATGGCGCTTCCTTAAGGAAATGCCTCTCTGCAGTCCTGTGTGTTCATGCCATCCTTCCATGGAAAAGCCAGAGTGACCACGTTCCAGGACCATGTGACCTGCCTGGTGGCTAGGCCCATGCATGTGTCAAAGAGAGGAGGAGAGAAGGAGACATGGGTGCAAGGGTGGGAGGTTTAGACTGGGAGGATGCGCCTCACCCACACCCCCCCCACTGACTCACCTCCCCAAGGTGCGGGACCCCTCACCCACGCCCCGCCAACTCACCTCCCCGAGGTGCGGGTCCCCCTTACCCACGCCCCCCCACGGACTCACCTCCCCGGGGTATGGGTCCCCCTCACCAACGCCCCCCCCCACCGACTCACCTCCCCAAAGTGTGGGTCCCCCTCACCCACGCCCCCACTGACTCACCTCCCCAAGGTGCGAGTCCCCCAGTGGTCCTTTTGTTTCAGGATTGGCAATTATGATCCGAACCCCAGGAAGTATCTGTGTGGAGGAAGAGAAAATGCATGATAATGGCAAAAAAAGACAGGTGGGTATCTTGCACGCATGCAAGTATGCACGCATGCATACACACACACACACACACACACAGACTCACACAACACAGCTTGTTTTTATACCAGATGCCATTTCCCCCTGGGAGATGACTTAGAAAGTGGTGTGGCACTAAGTCCAAAGTGTGAGCTCTGTGCCTGCCATCTCATGCCAGAGATCGGTCCTGTGTCACAGGGACCAAAGGCTGAGTCCTCGGATGGCCAATCGTATCCCAAAGCGGGAGAGAACACAGGTCTTCTGAACATCACTAAAGTGGCAATTCTGAAGCCTGGTGTGCTGTGCATGCCTGCAATCCCAGCTATGCAGAAGGCCACAGCTAGGAGCCTCACAGTCCAAGGCTCGCCCTGGGCAGAAGCACCTCAAGAATAAACTGAAGCACAGAGGGCTGGGGTGCAGCTTGAGTGGCAGAACGACTGCCTCGCGAGCACGAGGCCTTGGGTTTAAACCCTCAACTGTCAGAAAAAAAGAGGAATTGTGAAAAAAATTAAAAAGATTGAAACACATTAAACAAGCTGGATGCTTTGCTTTTAAAATAGACATGTTCCATTTTCCCATGAATTTTGTGTGTGTGTGTGTGTGGTCCTGGACCTTGAACTCAGGGCCTAGGCACTGTCCCCGAGAGCTTTTTTGCTCAGGGCTAGCACTTTACCACTCAGCCACAGCTCCACTTCTGGCTTTTGGTGTGTAACTGGAGAAGTGTCTCGCTGACTTTCTTGCTGGGGCTGGGATTTGAACCATGATCCTCAGGTCTCAGCCTCCTGAGTAGCTAGGATAACAGGCACGAGGCACCAGTGCCCAGCTCTGCCATGACCATTGATATGAATGCAATGAGGGAAGGTGACAGGGTGACATGTATGTCCGTCCTCACCTTGGGGATCACAGGGAGGAGTGGGCAGGGGCGTGAGGGACAGCAGAAGAGCCGTGTTGACTCCTAGTGCAGGCTGGTGTGTGTGTGTGTGTGTGTGTGTGTGTGTGGCTGTGACGGGAAGGGGCGTGCAATGACACCCACTGTTCTCCATGGGATGCCCACGGGGATGCCGGCCCAGATGAAGCCTGCACTGCACCAGATGGTGGCATTCTCCTCAGGGACACAGAAGTCCGCTGTGTGGTTTTAGCGGTGGTGGAGTCTGAACGGGGCAGTGGTGCTTGCCGTGGGAGAACCGGTGCAAGAAGCACCCTAACTTGCTGGTGTTCAGGGAGAGTCTACAGTCCCAGCACACAAGACGCTTCTAGAACTGTCAAGTGGAGAGAGGTGCTGGCCACTGGGCCAGCTAAGGAAACAAGCCTTCATTTGGGCGAAATAGGTTGCCTGCCCTTTAGGTCTGTGGAAAAGATAAGAAATGCAGCAGGAACTCCTAGCTGCCATCTGACAATCCCCCTTCCTCTACTTCTGTATCAGTAAACACCCTGATTTTCACTTGCCTACCAGATGTTCACCATCAATGTCTCAGTTTACAACCCACCTTTTAGCTACATGTGAGCAAGTGACTAAATTCTGCCCACTTGGATTTAATTGTAAAAGAGCTAGGGAACCTTCCCTATGCTTTGCAAGCTCTGTCTCCAGTGTTGTTTTTTCTCCTGCTTGCAGGAAGCAGACACTGGAGACCTGAGGTACCTTTGCAAATGGGAGGCATGTAGGGACAGGGTGTCTGGTGGATTTGTGAACTCATTGATGCCTACATCCCAGCTTTGCATCAGAAATCATCTAATGTAAACATTATTATTTCAAATTTCATGGCCCAAAGAAATCATCTAAACATTATTATTTCAAGTTTCATGGCCCAATGGTTCTGACAATATTTCCTCAAGGAAATTTTCTTGGGGAGATTTTTTGTTGTTGGTGGTGGTAGTCAGGGGGCTTGAACTCTGGGCCTGAGTACTGTCCTTGAGCTCTTCAGCTTAAGGTGAACACTCTACCACTTGAGCCATACTGACACTTCTGGTTTTCTGAGTGGTTTACAGGAGATAAAGAGTCTCACAGACTTTCCTGCCCAGGCTGGCTTTGAACCGCAATCTTTAGATCTCAGCCTGAGTAGCTAGGATTATAGGTGTGAGCCACTGGCGCCTAGTGGGGAGTAGATTTGACAGAGCACATGTCTTGGCATCTCACATCCCACGCACTGCCTGCCCCACCCTGCTGGAGATGGGAGCTTCCTCCCTGGATACTTACCTTTCCTGACTCCATGAGAGGCAAGCTGTGGGGAGACCCCCTTTCTACCAGCCGGACTCTGCAAATGGAAATGTACACCGTCAGCAAGCAAGTCTGCAGGACCTCTGTCCCCTCCTGCCGCCTTCTGAATGCAGGTGTGTTTTCTGAGGGGAAGACGTGTCTTCCCACGCCACCTCCCCTTCAAACCCCACTGCCCACAGCTCCAGATAAGTCTCCTTTCCATGCCACCATGTCAGTCTTTTCTGCGTTCTTGTGGGTGCCGCACCATCATTAACAGGGGGACTCAGAGGCCCAGAGCGGAGGGACCCAGCCAGGCCTGCGCACAGCGAGGCCTGCACTCAGCCTGTCTGTGCCTGGGTCCCGGCCATGGGCAGCTCAGCACAAGGCCCAGCTGTGCCTGCTGCAACAGCTCCAAGCCGATGGGGGTTTGAAAGCTGGACCATCTTTCCTGGGAAGATGTAGCAGGCTTCATGGAGAAGTCAGCCTCTGTGTGTGTGGGGGTGTTATATGTCAGTCGGGTGGGCTGCACCTGACAGTGGGACAGGTGCGGTGTGGTTGTTTGTATCATGGGAGGCAGGCAGGAGGAGGCCTGGCAGATGGAGGAGGAGATTCTGCCAAGGGAAGCTGTGCAGCCAGAGGAAGGCCGAGGTCTCTGAGCGGAAGAAGAGCATGTCTACATCCTGGGGAAAAGTGAGAGGTTGAAGGGGAGAGTGGGAGTCCCGGGAAGGTGCCCACCTCAGCCTGAAGTGCTGGAGAAGGGGCCCACCTCAGCCTGAAGTGCTGGAGGAGGGGCCCACCTCAGCCTGAAGTGCTGGGGGAGGGAGCTGCAGTGGCAGAGAAGGGACAAAAGGTCACAGGCCACGGCTTCTATTTATTCTAAGTTAAACAGGTAAGAAGAAGGAGAAGGAGGAGGAGGAGCTGGTGGTGGAAGAGGACAAGGAGGGGGAGAGGAGATAGAGGAAGAGGAGGAACAGGAGGTGGTGGTAGTGAAGGGAGAAGAGGAGGAAAAGGAGGAGGAGGAGGTAGAGAAGGGTGAGGAGGAGGAGGTGGTGGTGGTAGAAGAGGAGGAAAAGGAGGAGGAAGAGGAGGTGGTGGAAGAGAAGCAGGAGGAAGAGCAGGAGGTGGTGGTTGTGGAGGAGGAGGAAGAGGTGGTGGAGGAGGAGGCGGCAGAGAAGCAGGAGGAGATGGTGAAGGAGGAGGAAGAGGAGGAGGAGGAGGAAGAGGGGAAGGAGGAAGAGGAGGAGGAGGAGGTGGTGGTGGTGGTAGAGGATGAGGGGAGGAGGGGGAGGAAGAGAGGGAGCTGGGTCCGGCTGCAGGGCCACTGGGCCATGGGAGTAAACTACAGATGTGAGCGGCTCCCCAGGGCCTGGTTGGCCTGCTTTGCCAGAGGATTCTGGATCCTTCTAAGCCTGAGCACCTCAGAAGCACTGGAGCTAGTGCTTCCTTCTGACTGCCCACCCGGTCAGGGAGGGGCAGGTGGGACTTCTGCTCCTGGTCACACGGTAGCTCTCAGTGGCAGTGCTGGCGGGTGAGCAGGTATGAAAGAAAACAGTGTATGGGCCGGGCGCCGGTGGCTCACGCCTGTAATCCTAGCTACTCAGGAGGCTGAGATCTGAGGATCTCGGTTCAAAGCCAGCCCGGGCAGGAAAGACTGTGAGACTCTTATCTCCAATTAACCACCAGAAAACCGGAAGTGGCGCTGTGGCTCAAGTGATAGAGTGCTAGCCTTGAGCTGAAGAGCTGAGGGACAGCACCCAGGCCCAGAGTTCAAGCCCCATGACAAAAAGAAAGAAAGAAAGAAAGAAAGAAAGAAAGAAAGAAAGAAAGAAAGAAAGAAAGAAAATAGCATGTGGGACATAACATAACAACACGCTCCCGAGAACCTGCTAACAACAACTGCATGCCAAAGTCTGCGCCTCACACAGACACCACCAGGCGTCTCCACGGCCGACAAGTGTGGCATGGCCAGTCCAACTAAGTGTCTGCATAGACACAGCGAAACCCTCCTCTCTCCTGGGCATCTCAATCGCTTCTCTTGGTTGGGGCAGAGCTTTCTCCAAAGATAATCTCATCTTGCTTGCTTCCCTGCCTCTCCTGACCATCTGTACAAATATGCACCAAGAAAATAATTTTAAGGCTTGCTAATGGACAGTTAGGAGTCTGGAAGGAGAGGAAACCTGGCTTCCTGGCTTCTAACCTTTCATACAAAGTCCTGCACAACACTGTCCACTCATGTAGAGAAATGTAGGCAGAAGGTTGACATTTTACGAAGTGTGAAAAGGCACCTGACCAAAACGGCCAAAGGAAATAAAGACCCCAGCTCCGTGGTGGCAGCTGACGGTGGCGGGTCAAGCCACTTGGGGAGTCACAGAGGGCTCAGGAGCAAGCAAGTTTTCATCTGCGAAGTCTGAGTTGGCATGGCCAACCCTACCACCCCCCCGCTCCCGAGAGCCATGTGCCAGGCAGCTGCGAGAGAAGAGGACAACGAGAAATCCGGCCATCACGCCCGCCTGCCATACCTGTCGTGCCTCAGGGCTCTCATGTCAACGTAGACGGTGGTGGGGTCGGGTCCTGATGTGCCCTGAAAGCAACGACACAGGGTGGTTAGCTCAAGCTGCCTGAGCTGGTGAACAACAGTGTAGTAAAACCTTAAGCTGGAGAGATGAGAGGCCAAAGCTAAACACTGCTCAGACCACACCACACTAAGCTACGCGCTAACCTCCGTGCGAGACCTCAAGTGTTCAAAGGCGGCGCCGGCTGCCTGGACCCTGCCTCTCACGAGTGGACTCCCAACCCTCACACATCTGCAGATGAGGCCAGCCCCTCGGCAGGCTCCGCCAGATAAAAGGCTGGAATTGTGGGGAAAGGTCGGCTGGCAAGGGCAGACTGTCAAGGACAACCCTTGCAGGGAGACATTTACTACATGCTTCCAGAAAGGTCTATTTTTAGAGACGCAGATAAGGAGGCAGCTGGGTGACATGAACTGGCAGCTCAAGGAGAGAGATCTGAGAAGTAACTGTTTCGTTCCTGGTGTTCTACATGTGCTCTGCTTCTTGCTATTTTTGTCCCTGACATCCTTCGGGAGGCTGCATGTTTATCCATGCCAGCTGAGCAGAACTCTGGTCTGAGCTCCCTGACCTTATTTAACACAATAGTCCAGAAATCTTATCTTGGTGCCACAAATCCCTTAAGAAGTAGGCCGGGTTGACTTCCCTCCAGAGCTTTCTGTCCATGTCAGAGCAGTATGGTTGAGGCTGCCTGACAGATCGATCCCTTTCACATACACTTTTTTCTTTTTTTGGTTGGTCGTGGGGCCTGAACTCTGGGCCTGGGCGCTGTCCCTCAGCTCTTCAGCTCAAGGCTAGAGCTCTACTTCTTGAGCCACAGTGCACACTTCCGACTTTTTTTGCTTATGTTGGTGCTAAGGAACGAACCCAGGGCCTCATGCATGCAAGGCAAGCATTCTACCCCTGAGCCACCTTCCCAGCCCCTTTCACATATATTTATTAGGAAGGAACTACAATACCTTGGTTAGAAATAGAGGGGACCGACAATTAATTGAGATTCCAAAAACAAAAACTTTTTAAAATTTATTTGGACTACACTAATAGTTTTCAGGTGAAATCTCAATGTTGAACCCGAAGTGTGTTTAAATTATAAGGATAAAAATAAAGTCAACTCCATAAAAACATGCTATCAGAAATCCTGGCCTCTGGTATCTCATCACCAAGATGGAGAAAAGAATAGCACATGCAAACCAGCTCGAAGTGGTGTATATGGCGACACAAAGCTCAGGACATTCTTTCTAGCCTACGGCTGATTATTCAGTGAAGCTGTGCTAAAGATGAAGACCGAATGAGGAACTGATCTGATGTTCTGAGTGGTGTGAGACACGGAACTATAGGTGGTCAATTAAAAATTAAAACAAAAGGGGGGGTGAGGATGGGGGGCTGGGAGATGGGAAGGGATGGGAAGGGGAAACAAAGGAGGACGCATCGATGCTTGATAAGAAATGTACTCATTATCTTGCCCATGTAATTGTAACCCCTCTATACGGTATTTTCACAATAAAAAAATTTAAAATAAAAATTGAAAAAAGCAAACCAGAGAATAGGTCAGAAGAAGGAAAGGATGGAGTATGGAAATGAGCCTGGACTGGCCAGAAACCCACAGACCACATCCAGTGGAATTACAGCATCTGCCCCGCCTGCGCCAGCCCTGGGTGGTGTGGACCCTGACCACAGGGTCTGCAGGGCCCTCATCCATCTCTGAACTCAACTTCCAGCCTGCCACAGTGCTGGAGGTGGCAGGTGGAGGTGGGTCGGTGGGAAGGAAAAGAGACATGGTGTGATGAACAGAAAAATCCCCTACCTGCTCGGCCTGCGTCCACAGCCTGTGGGGCTACAGCAGCGGGGGGTGGGAACAGAAGAGAGGAAAGAACACCAGACCAACAGAAACCAGACAGAGAGGACACACACAGACACACACAGAATGACCCAACAATTCAAAATGGGATGGGGGGGAGGATGGAGAGGACAATGCAGAAAGCAGGAAACAAAGTAAAAGAAGATCAAAAACAATGTCAGATATGGAAAGCATTAAAAGTAAACAGTGTACCGTTAAAGGTGGAAAAAAAGACATCAACTTATCCATAGAGCAAAGAGATCAATAGGTCAGAAAAGAGTCATAGGTCACTAAGCGTGGACACATACACGTCTGGAGATTTTTTTTTTTAATCAGGTGGTTTTACTAGGTGGTATTACAGACAGTGTGGTTTTATGGTGTTTTCATCTACTTTCTTTTTTTTCCCCCTGAGGAATGTAAAACTTGTTTTATTGGTTAAGTTCACTGACCTTTTATCTTCATGTAAACAGCTCAACTTTCTAAGACCATGGAAGTCTAGATGATTTTATCCTAAAATGTGGGTGCCCAGCCCTATGCATCTATAAGACTAGGTAAAAGAAAAGTGGCGAGAGTTCACGTGAAGTCCAAGGGACCCACACTGAGCTCTCACCCACACTGAGCTCTCACACATAGCAGCTCAGCGGTGAGGCGCACCCTGGGGAGAATGCTGTCTTCATCATCACAGCTGTTTGCCCCAAACAGAGACACATCACCTTCCATCTCTCCCTCATTACCTCCATGTTCCCGCCTGCTACACAAGCCATGGTGGGAAAAATCCAGAGAGCAAACTCCTTGGATGCAATGTGTTTTCCCCTAGGAAAACTTGGGTATCTTTTCCAAATATTCCCAGGTACGTACAGAACATGGAAGAATTTTCTAGCTGGACACTTGAATCAATGTATAATTGTTCTTTGTGTGTCTGTCCTCAATGAAGACAACTGGCAGGCAGACACCACACACCACAGCAGCCACAACAGCAGAATTCTTACAGCTGCATTGTGTTAAGTAACAAAGCCAAAGTGAAGAATTACCACTACTCCAAAGTACAAAAGCAATGGTACTTAAAAAAGGCCAGCCAGGGAAGAAAGATTTACAAAAGACTCTATCTCCAGCAACTAGCAAAAAGCTAGGCTGGAGGCCTGGCTGAAGAGGCTGAGTACCTATCATGAGCAAGCAAGCTGAGCAAGAGTACAATGTGCTCAAGCTCTAGAGCCAGCACAAAACCAGACAACCCATCAACCAAATAACCCTCCACCTCCAGCCTTTTCAATACATTTGTGTTTTGCCCAAATTCAACTTTTGTTTCAGTGGTTGGTATTAAGCATCTTGGCTGCTTTAGGACTAAGTCATGGCAGGTGACAGACTTTCAGGGAAAGAGGGGGTTCTGATTATTTGGTTCAGGAAAGATGAAAGATCCAGATCCTTTGCTGGACCATGCCATTTACTGGCAAAGAATCAGCTTTTCCAGGGAACAGCCAGATAAGACTTGCTTGCTTCCACAGCATTTTATTGAGATATAAAGCATGCCTGTTTGTTTCTGGATTGTCTGTTTCTGCCTTTAGCCAAGTAGTGGTGAAAAGAGTTCATGAATGGCTGAGCCTCAGCTCCTGTCAGTCAGTCAGTCAGTCAGTTTGTCTGTCTCTCTCACCCTTTAGGAAAAGTGCCTACTAGAGGCTCCAGTTCTGGGGACTGCTGAACCACACCACAGCAGGGCAGCGTTCAGACCGTAAGCAGCACGGATGTTTCTGTGGCAGCTGCTGAACTTCAAAGACGCGTGGCAAGCTCAGATGCACAGACTGAAACCCAGAAACTCTCCCTAGAGGTAATAAGGAACTGTTTGTTCATTGTGAGAAGAGCTAGACAAACTGAAGGAATGTGTGAAGCCATAGCACCATTGTGTCCTGGGACCTTAAATGCTTTCTTTCCCCCAAGCTGGTATGGGGCTTGAACTCAAGGCATAACTGACACTCGACCACTTGGGCCATGCCTCCTGCCTGGCATTTTGTTGGTTAAGTCAAAGGCTTTTCTGCCTAGGCTGGCTTTGAACCATAATTCTCCAGGTCTCAGCTGCTTGAGTAGCTAGGAGTACAAGCATAAGCCACTGGGGAGCAGCACACCCCTCTGGTTAATCCACTGTTCCTGAGGGGACTGGTGGAAAAATACACTCATCCAGTGGTGGAGCCAAGAGTGGAAATGTGTTTAAAGCTGTCATGCCTGGAGCCTAACACATCTGCTATCCAAAAACACAGATAGATGAATGATCAGCATTCCTCTTTTCTGTCCTTTGTCCCTAACTTTATAGTCCATGGTAGTAAACTTTGTAATTTTGTCTATAGCTTACAGAACACCAGTGATGTCAGCAGAAGTCAGCTAGAAAACCCCGACTTCAAATTGATCACAGTCACTCAGAAACTCCGGCTCATCTCCTAGTTTGAGTCTGTGAATGCCATGCTGTGGTGGCTTGTGGGTAGGTTGTGAAGACAGGTAAGAATGGGGTTGTGTACTGACCCTGGACAGCCAAAGGGCAGCCAAAGGGGTGGGCCGGTGAGCCTTCTGTTGTCCTTTTTGGTCAACAAGCATCTGAAATCTTTTTCTATACTAGGGAACTCTCTCACTTCCTGAGTCCAGGGTGAATGCAGACCCCTTCTCTGGGGAATAAGTATGCTGGAAGCGAGCCTGGGGGAGATCCCCAAACCACAGCAGGAAAAAAAATGGTTCTCTCATTCATGATAGTGCAAGCGTGTGCACAGCAGGCAGGTGGAGGGGAAGCTGGGAGTTGGGGAGGAGAGAGCTCGGGGCCAGCAGCCAGCTGAAGACATGAAAACACAGGGTCCTGTCTCCTAAGGACACGATGGTGCAGGCCTAAAACAGGCCAGGAGAGCCCTGAGAGTGTGCTCACGACACCGGCAAACTTACTTTTCTTTACAGGCTGCTTTATTTGTTGCTTACAAATTACAACCCTGATTGATGCACCAGGTAATAAGGGAATAGTGGGCCCTTAAGCTTGAGTATCAGTTTTTTCATTATCTGAGACAACATATATCAATAGAAGAGGGTGTAAAAGTTTCAGCTGAGTATGATCAATTCTCTGGAGTGCACAAAAATCCCCAGCGGCATCTTATAGTTATTCTTGCTTCCCTCATCTAAGTGCAGTGTACAGGGAAACCAGTGAGTTTGAGAGCTGGAATTAATGAAAGCCTTATTGCAACTATTTGTTCTTAGAGTTTAAGATTTATATTGCCTATCTGAGCCTTCCACGTGGTTTCTTTGTAACAATCAATGACTAATTCCATCACCAGAGTGGTTGTATTTCTCTTTCACTGGGTGAGTGTCAAGATCTAGGGCTGATTAGAACTGTTACAATTGATTGAAATCTACAACGTTATTTATTGCAAAGCATCTTCTTTGTCACTCTTTTTCTATATAATAAAAATCAAAGTTCTTGTTTAGTTTTTTTTCCCCTTAATTAAGAAACATCTTTTGGAGAACAGAAGATGTCTCATTTTATCTTTCTTTTTCTGCTAGAAGGAAGGTTACTTCTCTGTTGATTCCAACTTTGAACAGTAATTGTGGCTGGAGGAAATGTCTTTCCAATGAAGGTTAACAAACAAGTGACACTACTTAATAGTACTAAGAAAAAATTTATGTTAAAGTTAATTAAACCCAGAAGTCATAATTCGATCTTCCCAATTGTCCACTTTAATCATAGCTTTACAAACTGAAATTGACTCACTTTTACAGCTCAATTCTGGGACGTGTCATTCGTGAGAATAACAAATGATTCATACTTGTAGATTCTTTCTGTTTTAGTTCATAGCTTTGTCAATTAGGAAAGTTTACTTAGTTTTTCTGGGCCTACTTTTCTCATCATAAAATTGACTAAATTTTATACTTCATGACTAAGGAAGAAATAACTAACTTTTGTATCCAAGAGCCAACACACTGGTTAAAGAATACATTGGCAGAATACATTGGCTTTTGTTTTGTCTTCAGTGTGTATGTTTTTTCTCTTCCATCCAGGTCTCTTGGACTTCATGTATGGATTTGTGATTAACAGTAAACCCTGATCTTCATTTGCAAGGAAGAGTTACAAATAAAGATCTGAACTTTTTTTTCCCCATGGTGATTTATATCATAAACTCATTTGCAGCATATTCCACACAATCAGTGAATGCTCAGGAGTGCTCTATAATTTTATTTTTCTCTCAGTCATGGGGCTTAAACTCAGGGCCTGGGTGCTGTTCCTGAGCTCTTTTTCACTCAAGGCTAGTACTCTACCACTTGAGCCACAGCGCCACTTCCGGTTTTCTGGTGGTTCATGAGAGATCAAAGTCTCACGGCCTTTCCTGCCCAGGCTGGCTTTGAACCTCCATCCTCAGATCTCAGCCTCCTGAGTAACTAGGATTACAGGCGTGAGCTACCAGTGCATGGCTTGTGCCCTTTACTTTTTACACAGGTCACTGGGCCCTAATCAAGTGAGCATTTAACTTATGCAATGAATGTGCATATTTACATGCCTGAGACGGGTGATCACAGGAATCCGGTTTTAGCACTTGATGGAATGCACTCCCACCCAAAGGTGGCTAGGTAACTGTGTGAGAACGTGCTGGACCTGGAGGAAGGTCCTTGGTAAGAATGCGCTTGCTGACAGGGCTGCTCACCACGTACAAGAGACAGGAGACAAATCTATGACACAGAGATGCACAGCTACAGGTCTCAGAGGGAGGCAAAGGCTCGCAGCCAGAGGAACTGAAAAGGTTTCAGAGAGACGGAGAAGGAGCCTGCGCTCCCTGTGAAGGGGGACTGAGGGACGTCTGCTCACTAACTAGCAACGTCAACTCTGGGTTTAGTAGCCATATTGTGGGATTACTTCTACGAAAGAATGTTACTATCTCTTATTAGAAACCTACAGCTTCATTTTCTCAGCAAGCACGGATATTTATTAACTATCTCCAGGGCACTGAGGACGCCACCGTGAAGGAGCTGGCATTTCAGGCACCTCCTGAAAAGACCTATTCCCCAACTTCATTCTTGAATGTCACCTGAACCAATCTGCTTACTTTCTGAGTGTATAATTGTCTTCTATTTGATGTTTTCCTTCCCTGTAAGCCTTCTTAAAATATTCTAGATTTAAATGGATAGACATAAATGAAGGATAATAAAGAGTAAATAAATATATCTATTCTATTTTTTACATTTATATAAGGCTTTAAGTTTGTATAACAAAATGGAGAACTTTGTTACCTGTTACCACAGGCTAATATTATTATTAAAGTTAATATGGCACATACCCTCTGCTTCTCCCCCTTTACCCCCAACAATTTAGAAAACACAAAAGTAAGCATCACTTCAGCTGTCATGCAATTTCTCCTTGAATTTCTGACCTGTTTCCACCAGGGGGCCCAGTTAAGAGAGGAGACAGGAAGAGACTCCCATCCTGGCTGTGTCAGGGAGGAAATGGATACATGAACATGGCTGAAACAATGTGAGGGGCAGATGCAGATGACCCCAAGCATTAGAGGAGCTGATGTGGTAGGATAAGCTCAGTTCTTCAGACTTAGGAAAGGGTACTAATTTCAATCATAAGGACAGATTTAACTGGGTCTTGAGACAAATTTATTAGCTTGTAATTTCTTTGTAAATGGAGCTAATTTGAGGAGAAGAAAGACTGAAACAAAATACATGCATATAAGATTTTGTTTTAAAAAAAAATAAAAAAGCTGTTTGGCCAGGCACCAGGCGCTCACACCTGTTGTAATCCTAGCTACTCAGGAGGCTGGGATCTGCGAACTATAGTTTCAAGCCAGCCTGGGCAGGAAAGTCTGTGAGAGTCATTTCCAATTAACCAGCAGTAAACAGTACGTGGTGGTGTGGCTCAACGTGGTAGAGCGCTAGCCTTGAGCAAAGGCAGCTCAGAGACAGGGCCCAGTCCCTGAGCTGATGTCCCAGGACTGGCACCAAAAACAAAAACAAAAAGACGTGAAAAGAAAAAAGTAGTGAAGAGGGTCAAAAGTATCCTAATGTAGGAAACAAATTTTTCTTTGCCCACTGCAAGGCCACTCTGAGACTCGCCTCACTCACATTCCCGGAGTGCAATGTAGCTTTGCAATTTTAGGTTAGTGTGACAAAGTAAATTCTTCAGTCTGATGAACATTGTGGAATTCTCCCTCCTGAACTCCTGTCTGTGAAAGAGCGAAGTGTGGAATCTCTCACAAAGTTGCACAGCAGAGGTCTGCAGAAGTGCCACTCCTACTACAAAGATTAAAAAAACAAAAACACACCAGAACAAGCCTAGGAAAGCTAGTTTTGAAGAATGGATAGGAATATAACTTAAAAAGAAAGGATATATGCATCTACCAATCACAGCATTTAATTAAAGAACGTAGCTAGGAGTCAGCCAAAGAAAACAGTGTGAGCAGGTTTGCCCTGTACACCTGCTACTAAAAACAGTTGTCACTGTTGTCACTCAGCTCTGACTAGTTTTCACGAACCTCACCTGTAAGCAAATCGCCAGGTTCACTCTACAGCCAAAGGAAGTGCTCACAGCCCGTGGGTGGAGGCCCAGGTCTTTAAACAGCTTTGAGAAAGACTGTGTGAGAGCAATTCTGGGACGTTCTTCAGCCACCACCACACATGTCCTTACTCGGGACAAGTCCAGTCCTCGTGCCTGGAAGGAAGCACAGGGTCACCAATGCAGCCTCACGTGCCTGTTATGCTCACCTGTGTGAAACCAGAATCCCTTCACCCAGAGCAACGGCAACACAGCAACACTGCCCCTCCTCTGCCCGCCTGCGTGTCAAACGATTCCGGGATGCTGGTATTTTGGCACAGAAAGGGTCCACTGCAGTAAGAGTGGTGAAGAGAAAAAGGTGAGAAAGACCAGCTTCCTGGGGAAGGAGCAGCATTTGTGGGCAATCCTGAGAGCACCCATGTACAAGAGAAAGGAGGAAGCCACATGCTAAAATCTAGGGATGGGGCTGGGAAGGTGGCTCAGTGGTAGAGCACTTGCCTTGCATGCATGAGGCCCTGGGTTCGATTCCCCAGCACCACATAAGCAAAAAGAAAAAAAGCCGGAAGTGGCACTGTGGCTCAAATGATAGAGCGCTAGCCTTGAGCTGAAGAGCTGAGGGATATCGCCCAGGCCCAGAGTTCAGGCCCCATGACCAGACTCCCCCCCCTCCCCCCGCAAAAAAAATGTAGGGATGTTGAACTGAAATGTGCTAACAACTTCATACTGGCAGCTCTCCACTGACATCTCAGGGCACAGGAAAGGTCAAGCTAAGCTCTCCTTATCAAGTGCATCTCAGTTTCTACAGTAAGTGTGTCCTTAACCACATCTCAGCATCTGTACCATACACAGTCAGCTGAGCCAAGCCGGAAGGATCCTGGGAAAAGGAATTCAGCAAGTCCACACAAACACTCACAGTGGTGAAAGCTTGTGCGTTTCAGCTGAACTGGAGAAAGACTTGCTGACAGAAGGGCCTGAATGCGGTGGTCCAGTGAAAATGGTGTCTTAAGTAAAAGTAGAGCTTTTAAGAGAGGCCTTAGCCTAACCAAACCATCAGTCCCTCAAGTGTTCAAGTACTTGAATGAGGAGGACACACAATTTATGATAGCCTTTCTTTTTCCCTTCCCTTCCCTTCCTTTCTTTTTTGTGCAGCTGAGGATTGAATCCTTGGCCTGTACACAGTAAACATGGTGCTTTAGACACATGGATAGCTTTGGCTAGCCTTCAAATTAGGGTCTGCCAGGAACATCAAGATGAACAGCTAAATTCAAACCTTTCTAGGTAAACACCAAAAGTTCCTTGAAAATTTTAACTCATCAAGCAGGGGAAAATTTGGATCTTTCAAGCCGATCTAGTGAAATTTAAAACTTTTGCATATTTACACTCACACATATTACTATTTGTGGCAGGCAGAACCATTCACTCATGCTAAAACAAAGGCAGCTTCTCCCAAAAGTGATCTGTAAGTCTCAGGCAACAGATCATAGAAGGATGGTCCTGTGCTGGCCTCTCCCAGCCAATGTCCCCTTTGGGACCAGAGTGCCCGATACACACCTAAACTGAGGCCAGGAGCACAGCTACTCACCTTGAGGGACTCTGTCTGTGAGCCCAGGCCCTTGGTGCAGAGCTCCATCACGGAGTAGGAGCAGAAGGTGTCCCGGACTTTGTACTGACTCACGGCGAGGAGCCACAGAGCGGGGTTGGTCTCCAGCTCGGAGGGCGGGATGAGGATGGACTGGTGCCCCGAGTACACACTGCAGAGGCAGAAATGGGGGTCAGGGCAGGTGAGCAGGAGGGGTGGGCAGGTTAGGGCAGCGTTCCCTTGTGGGAAATGACTTCCCACAGGCCTCATCGTGTGTCAGACACAGACAGGACAACCAACTCTAAAAAGTGAGGCCACATTGCTGAAGATATTCTGGAAAGCAGGGAAATATTTTACCAAGCCATTAGCATTTTCAACAATCACTGGAAGCATCTAACAGCTGTGATGCCCTTGGGTTTCTCTCAATGCAGCTACATTTAATGAACTCTACCCTCTTCTTGGTAAAAATCACAGGAATCACTTTTCGGTTCAAAGTCTGCAGTTAGAATGGGAACGAGCATAACATGGACTCTGCCCATGGTTAGCTTTGTTTTGTTGGAACAAAGCCGTTGCTCATTTATTTAAAAATTGTCTCTGGTGGGGGGGAGTGGGGAGGCTGGGAAGGGATGTGAAGGGTAAACAAAAGGAGGAGGCTGCAATGCTTGGTAAGAAATGTACGCATTATCCTGCCCATGTAACTGTAACCCCTCTGTACAGTATCTTCACAAATAAAAAAAAAATTGTCTCTGGCAGCCTTGGGCTACAGTTTGCGAGAGACACCATGGAATGAACTGTTAAGCAGCCAATGAAGGAAATGGGTGTCTATCCCTAATTTAGAAAACTGACATCCAGAGCAAAAGGAAGAAAATTAAGACAATTAAGACAGTCCTTCTTGGTGACTGAATCCTTCTTGGGGTCTGAACTCAGGCCTTGCACTGGCTAGGCAGGTGTATCACTTGAGGCATGCTCCTAAATTTTTTTTAATGTAGTTATTATTTTTTAAGTCATGACTGGAACTCAAACTCAGTACCTGCCACTTTTGCTCAATGGCTAGCACTCCACCAACAGCCACACCTCCAACTCCTCCCCGAGTTATTTTTGAAGTCAATTTTTTCCCCCCACACTGACCTAAAACCTGATCCTTCTCTTTATACCTCCCAAACAGCTAAAATGACAGGTATGTGCCACTAGGTTTGGCTTATTATTTGAGATGAGAGCTCATAAACATCTTTGACCCTGGTTGACCTTGAACCTTGATTCTTCTGACCTTCCCTTTGTGGGTTGCTAGCGTTACAGACATGAGTCACTACACCTGCCTTGGTTCAATCTTTTAAAGTTTTGATGAGTATAATCCAAACAGAGCATTAAAGAGAAGAATAATATACTCATTCTTTAATTTTATCATCACATGATAGCCCATTTAGAGAAATAAGAAAAAAATGAAAGACTCCAAACTGTAATTATGTATAAAAAGTGGATTTAAGAATATTTTACAAAACTACACCTTTAATGTTCCAGTTTATTACTACATAGATTAATAGATGCCATTATAATAAATACACTAGATAATGATGTAAAACTTAAAAGGATTTCTAAGCTGTATCAAAGTTCATAGATGAACTAGCATACTTTTATCATAACAGGATCCAACTGGTTAAAGGCATGTAAGAAAATTCAATGAATCTTCAAAATCTATTTCTAATAAGATCTTTTGCACAGAAAAATAACATATTCTTTTCAAATAACTAATGATTACAAGTAACTTTCTACCACACAAAATTTGTCTGAAGTCTGTAAAAGTAGCCTTTTATCCTAATATTCTTTCATCTCAATCTGAGGGGTATGTGTGTGCACATCCCAGAATTGGGGCTTAAACTCAGGGCCTTGCACTGTTGCTTGGCTTTTCTGCTCCTATACAGTGTTCTACTACTGAGCTACCTGTCCACATCAGGCTTTTTGCTGGTTATCTGGATATAAGAGTCTCTTGGATTAGGGTGGTCTGGCTTCAGACCAGGATTCCCAAATCTCAGCTTCTGAGTGGAAGCACAGGCTGCCAATACCCAGCCAGACCTGAGGTTCTTTACATTATTTTCTTTCAAGCTTTCTGGTGTTTTGTGTACTTGCTTTCTTTGTAATTACATAATGATATTCCTCAAGTGGTCCTCTAAGACGCACTTTAGGTCTGGATGCAAACCACTTCCTTAGCTCCAGGAATACTGTGAAAGATCTAGAAGAGGGATCTTACCTGCAGAGGCACCAGAGGACAAACCCAAGCCCACAGTAGGGGTCCAGACAGATGGCCACTTCTCTAGAGGGGTAAAGCTCACACTGCAGCTTAATGGAACGGCAGAAGGCACTGGTGGCTGCGTGGGACATCTGTAAGACAGGTAGAAAAGGGGTGTGGAGGCTGACACCAGGTCCATGGAGGCATTGCTGCTGCTCCTAGGAAGCCACCAGCATCGCGGACACCATGGTGTCTTGGTCAAGGGTTCAAAGGCGCATGGCTGCAGGCTCTCACCATCTTCCCAGATTATCCCAATCTTCTAGGGCCTACCAGCTCCAGCAGCTGAGGTAACAGGGGCACTGTGCTCTGCGCGGTGGCTAGACAGGCAGGAGCTCCCGTGCCCCTGCAGCTGCCTGTGCAGTGGGCTAAGAGCATGTCACAGTTCACTCCACCTCTGCAGGGGGAGACTGCCCTATTTTTGTGCACAAGGAACCCCTCACCTTAACGTTCAGGAAATGGGAGGCTCAGAGAAGGAAAGAATGTGCTGACGGAAGGAAATGGAACGTGGCCTTCCTGTAGCAAGCCCGATGCTCTGCCTGCATGGTGGCCACCCTGCCAGGGGGCAGCAGCTGAAAGCCAATCTCACCTGCTAGCACTCAGGTGAGGGCCAAGCTCTCCCCTCTTCCCAGCCCAGAACAGACACCAATAGGAACTAAGGCGCACTCTCAAATAAATAAGCCTGCCTCATTCATGATTTCACTATGCACGGTTTTGCCCAAGCACTCTGAAAATAAATAAAAGAGATCCAAAGATGTTTCAAACAAAACCATTTTAAATTCCTGCATGTGTGTTGTACAATTCAGTGAGCCCTGCATTATCGGTCTGCATATTTTATTATCTTTAAGTAGTTGTACAAAGCAGCTGCCACTCACAGAGGCAGTTGATGAATCCAGGGCACCCTGATCATGGTCCCCCCTTTCCACACTCTCACCCCCTCCAACCCAGCTGTCCCTTACATATCTTAATTTTAGGTAGAGCATTGAATTTTTTGCCATTTAACCAGCAGATCATGTGCACAAAGCATCTTGATGTGCGCCATCTTCCCCCTCTTCCCCCCACCCCTTCCCTCATGTTTCTCAATTCTGTGGTATAGATAATGAATTCCTGTCCGCATTCTCCCCACTTCCCTTTTCATTCTTTACCCCTCTTCCCTTGGTCCCTCTCTCCCCTCTTGCAAATACCCATTTCCCAATATTGTCTGCTTGGGCTTTGACTTAAGTCTTTTTAAGGATTTACAGGATTTGTGCTTTCCACAGAGTCCTGTGTTACTGTCGGTTGTGTTCAATTGTGGTGTGCTCTGCTTGAGTGGCCCCTGCCCTGGATGTGGTGAAAACTGACCTCTGAAAAAGTGGTGCCAGAAGCAAGGTAAAAGTGATTGCGCCGAATCTTAGTAAAAAGGTAAAACGTTAGGTGTGCTGAAAGGTGGCATGTTTTCAGCAAAAGCAGGGTGGCATTGTGGGAAAATGAGGCAGTGTCCGTGTGCAGTGCTGAGCCCTGTACCTGAACAGGGCCTGCCACACACCGGCACAGCTGCAGCCTCCTCCACAGCACTTAAGTCTCTTTGGAATCTGCAGAGGGTGACCCAGGGGTTCTGGACTGCATGTGTCTAACAGAGTCAGTGTTCTTGTGGCTTCTATCCAAACAAGACCAAGAGAAGAGGTGACGTAGAAGCAGCACAGAAGACAGCACCAAGTGCCACAGTGTAAAAACGTGTCACAAGTTTATCTGAAGCATCAAGTCCCCCTGTAAGAGGACTGATGCAGAACACTGTAATAACAAGGAAATGTAGCCTAGTGCCTGGTTTTCAATTCATCCATCACTCCAGCAAGAGATGAGAGACCCTGGGAACAGGCAATCCTTCCACAGCGAGACAGCAAGGCACTGTTAGAAGCTGGGCAGGCCCAGAACGCCCTCCAGTCCAGATACCTCACTAAATTCATTACAGGATAATCGGCACAATTCTCTAGATGTGAGACACAGTTCCTTCTAGCTGGCTTTTGGAGCCACAGTATTTTCTGAAAGGGGAAATGACCACCTTAAGGTGGTTAGCCCAAAGCTAATCCTAGATGTGATAACCTTTATCAATCTCAAGTAAATGTATATTGGGGATCTTTTAGGAGCCTCTAAAGTGCAAAGTCATTCTTTATTATTATTACTATTACTATTATTATTATTTTGGTGATCATGGGGCTTCAACTTGACCTGGGCACTGTCCTTGAGCCTCTTTGTGCTCAAGGTTAGTGCTCTACCACTCGAGCCACAGTGCCACTTCTAGCTTTTTCTGGATATAAGAGTCTCATAGACTTTGCTGCTCAGGGTGGCTCTGAACCATGATCCTCTGATTTTGGCCTCCTGAGTAGCTAGAATTCTAGGCATAAGCCACCAGAACTCACCTAAGGTCATATTTTAAGTAGATAAAATGATGCAATTTAAACAGATAAATGCACAATCCTGTCTTATATGAAATTGGACATTGCAAAGCCATTGAAGAGCAAAACTTTTATGCTCTGTAATCAAGTGATGTTCCTGAATAAAAGCTGAAATTAAATAAAAAATCTTTTTTAGGTAAACTACATTTTTAGACAACCCAAGAGACCATAGATTCCATGCTCCACAGACATATGCCAGATAATACCACCTGGATCCTGTGCCTCTTAGCATTTGAAGCATATGGATTTTCATTAACTGACATCATAACATATTTTACTTCAGGTATTCATGAAGTTAAATAGTCAAAAGTTAAAAAAAAACACCTTTTATAAGTTTGAAAGAAAGTCTAGCCATCCAGTTCTTTAGAGTTTCAACAGTGTATAACTCAGATGAAGTGGGATCACCAGGAGGTGATAAACATAGACCCCATCCCAATAAAGTATAAAAACATCTTTGCTGAATCAGGATTTAACATGACAACTCCCACTTCCGTACACTGGGAAAATGATCAAAAGAATGCAGCAAGAGGCTCGAGAATAATTTCAGTACTAGTAACTAAGTCATCTGGTTTTGAAAATGTTTCTTTTCAAAAAGCTTTCGAAAAATATTTTATTTAAAACTATAATTTTATTAATCTATATAATATTTCAAATTCCACTGAACAGCAGATAAGAGTCTGAGAACCAAGTGAAATCATGAAGGCCACATTTCCCAGTCTGACTCAGAGGCAGAGACACTGAGGACAAGGTCTGGAGGCAGAGAAGCTACTGGTTTAGGGTGACACAGTACCTGGACATCACCTGAGCTGTGAAGAGCCTAATGCTGCCTTAGTATTTCTGCTCTTCAATACGGAAAAGGATCATTGCAGCTACACATACTGAGCAGCAATCTGCAATGAAACTTCCATGTGCAGAGATTTAGAAAACAGAATTTGAGAGACAGTAAGAAAGGAAAACATATGCACAAGTCTATTACGGATGAGGAAGACTGTAGCAATGTAAAGAAATTACTTAGCCTCATGAACTACTGACATTAGAGCCAGGTCGCACACACGGCAGCTTGCTTAGAAAGCATACGTACTCCTCTTTCCATGTGTCACCACAGTGTAAGGACACGAGCTGACAGTCGATGCATGGCCTGTCGGTTGGACTTCACTATTCACTAGTGTTTGTGTTGCACAGACCCACTGCTCACCTTTACGCCAGCTAGCATCCCAGTTGTGGACACACTAAAGTCAAGGTAGGCCAGTGTGTCTGGGTTGGAAGGTTTGTAGATCTGAGCCGGCCTCTTCTTTGGCAAATCATCTGGTGAAGAAAAGAATCTATTAGTCTAGCTTCCCTAATAATCAAGGGCCACACAAGCAAGTGCACGTATCCAGCATGCTCAAGAGCTGACCTGTGTCCAGGATGAGGGGCCACGTCCTGACATCTACAGCCGCCGCCGCCTCCCTGGACCGTAGCAGTTTACAGATTAGTTGTGTGGTCATCAGACAGGCAGAGCGGCTCACCTGGGGGCCAGAGAGACAAAGATGGAATGAAGGACTGTGAACCTGGAAAGACAAATCTCTGCTGTTTTTCACACATGTGCCTCATGCTCAGCATCTACACTGAAACCACACAGGTTAACAGGAGGATCGGATTCCTAAGGGCACAGCTTCTGGTGAGGAGCAAAGGTGCCGGATGGCGGGATCTGATCATGGATGCCACAGGTACAGCACAAGCCACTGAAGACCCTGTTCCCGCATGGCCTAGGGTGGAGATGCGCCTGGTCTCATGAGCACATCCCAAAAAGAGCATCAAAACCCCATCATAGGTGTCGCACAGCTGGCCACCAGGCTCACGTCTGTCATCCTAGCTACTTAGGAGGCTGACATCTGAGGATTCTGGTTCAAAGACAGCCCAAGCATTATCTCCAACTATAACCAGTAAAGAACTGGAAGTAGAGCTATGGCTCAAGTGATGGAGTGACAGCCTTGAGTGAAAAAACTAAGGGACAGAGCTTTGGCCTGAGTTCAAGCCCAGCACTGGCATACACACATATGTCACATACACACACGTGCCACATGTATGTTGAGATGCATACATATTTTCTGTCCTGATCATCTACCACAGAAGTACTCCAATATGACTTCAAAGGGTCTCCACTGGGTGACAGGACACTGCCATTCTCTGTTCAAACTAATTTTGCTTCTCATGGCTCCTCTTCAAATAGGGGAAAAACCCATCCTCCATTTTCCTTTGGTTTTCTTGGTTAGGTACAGAGGGAAGTGCTTCGTGATGGCAAGGCTGGCCTCTCCAGAGAGCTGCCTCCTCTAGAAGACCTTCAGTGTCAGTGCACAGCAGCCCCTGCTGACCCCCCCCACCTCCCTTCCAGGCCTCACTGAAATCTGGTTTAGGAAGCTCGATGAGAAGCAGCTCCTAGGCTCCCTGGAGGTGGAGACCATTTCCTCTCCCATCACTTCCACTCTATGCTCACAAACTCAGCAGACAGCAACCACCCTCGGGGGCTTCAGGTCTATGACCTGCAGCGCGACCCAGAGAGGTGGGGGGAAGGCACCCACAGCCCTCCAGGTGTAGTACCTCCACAATCATCTTGACTGTAGGCAGCGTCGTGGCAATGTTCTGGGGGTGTGGAGGCCGGACGGTTATTGGCACACAGCCTGCATACAGGCAACCATAAAATGCTGCGATGAGGTCTATTCCTACAAAGGAGGAAAACAGAAATTCTTAGTTGAGGCAAATACATTTATGTGTGTGTGTGTGTGCGCGCGCGCTGCTTCTGGGGCTTGAACTAAGGGCCTGGATACTGTCCCTGGGCTTTTTCTGCTCAAAAGTAGTACTCTACCCCTTGAGCCACAGCTCTACTTCCAGGGTTTTTAAGGTTAATTGGA